GCCCCCCCCCCCCCCCGCCGGGAAACAGCACTAATCATGACCCCCTTTTTTTTCAGTCTTTTTCAGACAGGGTCTCCCTGTAGCCCCTGCTGGCCTGGAATTCACTACCTAGACCAGGGTGGCCTTGAACTCACAGAGATCCACCTGTCTCTGTCTCTGGAGTGCTGGGATTAAAGGCGTATACCACCGTGCCCAGCTTAATCATGATCTTTTGATGTTATACTTCCTACTGGGGCACTATGCAGCTAATGTGACTCTGAACATGATCATTGTCTGCTAGTATTCCCACTTGAATTTGGAGTGCTAGAGGAACTTGAAGTCCGTACTGTTAATAACAAGGTCATGTTCTATTTCTCTTCCATAAGATCAAGTGACATAAAATAAAAAGATAATTTTATCATTTTATATCCATGCTGAATTAAAGAGACTTATTCAGTTATAAATTGAATATGTTGCAATATCAGAAGATTGCATATTTGTTGTTTCAGAAGCATCAGAAAACCTTCTAATTTCTACTCAGATTCAATAACAAAGGTCAAATTGGATATCTACATATGGGACACTGTTGCTCAAGTAAAGGATCCAGTACTCTGGGAAAATTTTATTATCTCAGCTTTTTGAAAATTGCTATCAACCCATAATTGATCAAGGCCTTGTTAAAAATTTCAATATAAGCACAAATATTATCTGGATGTAGCATCATACACTTGTATCCCTGAATTCTCCAGGCCAACCAAGAGGATTATGAACTTGAGACTAGCCTGGGCTACATAGTGAAATACTCTCTTGAAAAATCAAATTAAGTAATAAATTTTTAAATGAGAAAGAAACATTACAAAATAAAATGTGTGGGCCCACTGACTTTAAAGGCTGCTCCTGGTTTCTGTGCCTGTCCTCTATTGGATAGAAAGTCATGCCCTGTCCTTATCTCCAAATACATGAAGCCATTGATAAACTTTATGTTTTTATGTTTTAAATATTTTTCAGAGGATATTCTTTATTGGTAACTCAGTAAATTGTCGTAACATTGTGGCGGGATGATCTTTTTTCCACATTGTGTTTGAACAAGATTGATTTAAATGGGTAGAATCAAGTTTCTTGCTTTAGAATTTCTCAGGAGAGTTTTCCGGTATTCAACATTGTAAACATTTATGAAAATACAACATGAAATAAGTAAGTTTGGGCCCCAGGGCCCCAGAACCCAGAATGTGATTGCAAAATAATTTAAATTTATTTCCACTGTTCTGCTTATGACTGAGTAAAATACTTAGGAAAATCGTGCCCCATTACATAGAACTCTTAAATAGAAAGAGTGCGAGTACCGCGTGCTGCTCTGTACTAACCGTGCTGCTCTGTGCTAACCGCTGGAGGCCTAGATCCCCTGGTTCATCTAGCAGGGATGAAACTGATACCAGTTCTCAGCTGGCCTCACAACATTTTGTTTTCTTACATTTTATGTTTACTTTGTGCTTTCAACTGTTTGGTGCTGTGCTGGGGATTGGGCCCAGGGTCTTAATGTGTGCAAAGCGTACTCTCCACTATGAACTCCGTGCTCCCAGATCCTGAAATATTTGCTTTCTAATGTTCCTAATTGCACTTTTCTTTCTAGCTGAAGATACAGAACTTATGAATCACTTTGTTTTTGTAACTTGAATATGATTTTGTAGTATTTATTTAGATTTTTATTTATGCATTTCATTTCTACTGGTTACTACGTAGAAGTTGTTTTGATGATCCTTCCACTTTATTATAGTATTTAATTATCTAGATTTTTTATTTGTGCATTTCATTTTTACCAGCTATTAGGTGGAAGCTGTGTTATGGTCCCTTCACTTTATTTTATGTATTCACTTATTTTGTTCTTTTCAGATTTTCACTTTGGGAAATCCAACTATAGATACTATAGCACTCATATATGTTCTTTAAATAACATTTTTTAACTTGCTCTTTTAAAACTGCTATGTTTTCCTGTGTGGTTGACATAGTTATATTTGGATTGGCTTCATATGCACCGATAGTGTCAACATAACTTTTCCCAGGCAATTATTTGCATTTCAAGACGTGATCCCAAGATGATATTTGCATCTCCTCTACTTCTGTGAACACCTCTTAGGAAGTACTCCCACTAATTACTTTAAAATGCCATCTTTCACTGAAGTATTTTTCCCTAGTTGTTCAGTGGTACCCATTCAGGAAGGTATAGCTTCTGATAATATTGAATCTCTAAGTGTTGAAACAGAATGTTCTTTGCATCTCTGTTCTCCAGTTCTTGTATAGCTTATTGTGAGATGTGAATCTTTATCTTGCCAAATAAGTAATCAAGAAGACACATAAGCAAAAGTGCAGTGAGATTTAGGGTGGAGCAGATCCTGTGGTGCGCTATCCCAAAGCGGTTCAGGTGTCAGTTCCACCCTGAGTCACACTGTTCCTGTTCCTGTTCCTGTTTGTTTGGACTTGTTAGTTATTAGTAATACAGAAGATTGTCGCTCAGCTAGCCCCACAGGTGCGAAGGAGAGGCTGAACAGATGATGGGGAAATTAGCTAGTTGTATGTTAGTTGCTTTTCTGTTGCTGTGATAAAGTACCACAACCAAGACAACTCACAGATGGAAGAGTTTATTTGGGCTTACAATTCCAGAGGGTTGAGTCTATCCTGCTGGGGGAAGCAGGAAGGAGCAGGAACAGAAAGATGAGCACTCACATCTTTAAGCATGTGCAGGAAGCAGAGATAGAGCAGGAAGTAGAACTCTCAAAGCCTGCCCTCAGTAAGAGACTTCCACCACTGGCTGTACCTCCCAAAGGCACCACCAGCTGGGAACAAAGTTTA